TCTACTGAGTGAGGGGAGGGGAATTATCAGGGGAAAGAGCCAAGCCATTACGACTATATAACACTTGGAAGGGGTCAGGATAAGGCATGGGAGTCATCTCCCGTCACGCAGGGTGCAGTCGCATCTCCACAGATCTCCAGTATCAGCTCTTGATACTGGTAATGGCTCAAAAGGGCCACCACTTACGGGCTATTCATGCCCGTGCAACCTTTTGGATGGCTTAATCTTCATCAATCAATCATCAGGATAAGGATTTGGGATGGGACGGAGGGGGGCGGGGGAGGGAATGTTGCTCAACATTGACAATCCCCGACATTGTGGACCGACATTGAACGTCGACCTGCATGAAGCGAGACCGCCGCTCTACCGTCCAGCCCAAGGCCTGTGGCTTACGATGTAACTCTCTTGTTTTTGTTGGCTCTGAATAAATGAAACAAAATGAAATGAAATAAACTGTGAAATATGTGTTTGTTTTCGCGTGGGAAGCTGGCTAACAATATTTACCGAGCGCTGAAGACATTAACTTATAAAATGATTGTTATTCACTACCTATTTTGCTGCTTTTTTTTTTTTTTGCCCCCCTGCCAATCTGTCGCTCGTGTACGAAAAAAGAATTGGCACAGAAGCGGGTTTTCATTATTGGTTATTGTTCATATTGAACTTTAATGTTCTCTGGTAAAAGTTCATAATTTATCTTCATGTTTCTCCGTCCGACGAAAATATTCAAACTATACGTGAAAATTTAAATAAAAACGAACAATTCAAAGACGAGTTAAAGAACTTCTGGAGATTGAGATGGATGAGATTATAAAGAAAGAGTTATGAAGGAGATTGGTAGAGAGAAAATAGTATGGTGAAGAATTCTATAGAGAAGGATAGCAAGGAGAAGGATAGTAGAGAGAAGGGTAATAAGGAGAAGGACAGTATGGAGTAGAAGAGTGAAGAGAAGGATAATACGAGGAAGAGGAATCCGAGGAAGAACAGTAAGGATATGGACAGTAATGGAAAGATGAACAGAAAAGCAGTGGAGTGAACAATATAGATTAGAACATGAAGCAGCAGAACAGGTAGGAGAATAACATTGTACTTGGGTTCTTTTCCTTTGGGAGTGTTACGAGGCCCATTCACTATATATCCTGAAGTAAAGAAGTTGAAACACTCCCTTACTTTAAACTGGAAGAACTTTAAAAAAAAAGGAATGAATTATATTTGGCATTACATACGGCCTCCAGGCAGTCTGTTATAATAGATCTCTCGCTTCATGCAGGTCAGCGTTCAATCCCCGACCGTCCAATTGCTTGGGCACATTTCCCTCCCTACCCCGTCCCATTCCAAATCCTTATCCTGACCCCTTCAAAGTGCTATATAGTCGTAATGGCTTGGCGCTTTCCTCCTGAAAACTCCCTTCCCTCAGGAATAGATTGTAGAATCATGTCTCATCATCTTGAACGCACCCAACGGAGTTTTGGACCTTTCATACATACGTATCAGAATTATTTTACACATTTTTTTCTGGAAAATTACAGAAATTCATTGTTTAATCCACAGCGACATATTAACACATTTTTAAATACTACAAAAAGAGCAGGACAAATCTATATTATTATTCATCATTTGCAAAATTTTCTATATGCCATAATAATATTCCAAAAAAAGTATATCTTGCAGGACGGTGTTACTTTTGAAATATGTGCATCACGAACACTGTTTTGCAGGACTGCAAAACACATTTAGGGGATAAGGAAACGAGATTGGATCATGTCTGTCTTACTAAGCGTTTCTCCATTTTCAACTTCCATCTCAGAATTACTGGCAATCCCGTGAACTGTGTTCGATATTTTAATTAAGCGCTTGTTCGCTTCCCTGCTACAGGTTATAAAATAAATTCTCACTGTGCTTCTCGGGATAAAAATTCCTATAGGATAAAAATGGGTCTCTAACTTTCATCTCAAGTAATTGCTATATAAATTCACGCAGCAAAACATTCTGTAAAAAAATTCTTTTAAAAGCTTCGAACTAAAAAAATAAAAATACCCTAAAAATACAGACATTAAAATCGCGGTCTTGCAGCGTTCAGTATAAAACAGTCTAGATAGAATCACAGAATATTCAAGAGTTTAATCCCAGATGTGTTTAACAATTACGACAACAATTATGAGTGTAATTGAATGTAACTGCGTAAGTTAAAAGGAATTACAGGTCTTACTGATCCATGATAATCTTTATCCAACCACACTTACTGGTATCTTTATCGTATCTATGCTGAAAAATTTCCAGTGAGTTTCCATCAATAATATTGCCTATAAGTTTATCAGCTTTATTTTTATCCCAGTGTTTATGTTGGAAATCAAAATTTTCCCCAATTTAATCCACTTATTTGTGATTTGTCCTCGGTTGATATTGTTATAACACTGTTTACATCTATTTACATTTTGTCCACTTCAATTGTGTCTACTCCTGCAATTCACATTTTCAGAAAATTTAAGCCTAATTATCTTAGTAATTGCCTCGAATGCGTCAATAGGCCATTTGCAGAATTGTTTTATTCTCATGTTCTAATGCTCAATAACTCGGAGCATTACAACCAACACTGGGAGGTTCAAGAAACGATTAATGTGTAAATGAACAAATTCACTAGGGCCGTGACGAGGATTCGAACCTGCGTCCGAGAGCATCCCAGACGCTGCCTTAATCGACTGAGCTACGACATGGTCAAATTTAATGCATCACGCAATTGTGATTTCTGTGTGTGCGATTAATGTGTAATTTATATCCAACGTACAGTGCGCATTTACTCCTATGTAGGTCAAGTAGATAGTCACTGCAGTTCAAACCAACCATATCTACGTCTCGGACGCCTTGAAGTGTTTTCGGAGCTTAGCGTCCCCACGGCCCGGTCCTCGACCAGGCCTCCTCGTTGCTGGACTGGTCAACCAGGCTGTTGGATGCGGCTACTCGCAGCCTGACGTATGAATCCCAGCCTGATTGATCAGACTGCTACCAAACACACCACCACCATCGAAGGAGGATTCAACATTTCTAACACTCAAGCAAATTCTAATAAATCATACATTTTGATCACCTACTTCCTTATATCTCGTACCACCATCACCTCTTCACCGACTTCAAACTCTCGGTCCATTTATTTATGTATTTTGAAAGTATTTGTCTAGTGTACCAGTAAATGTTTATAAATCCCCTTCAGGCGAAACGTGGTTTATAATTATTTTATTATTGGTATTTATATCGAAAGTACGTGTAAATATTAGTCTCTAATTGACGGTGAAAACACGCCGGTTATCGAGATCGCTCTACCCAACAACCTTCTTTCGGATGCAGTCCACAACAGATGACTTAATCCGTGGTACCTAATTTGTTTTAGATAAATAGTACAGATGAATATGTATCAAGTGCCCGGACGTCAGGGCCTGGCCTAGAATTGAATTTAAATACATATTTCACGATAAAAAAAAACATAAAAAAATGCATTCGAGTTAAGGGAGAGTGGGCTGATTCTGGGCTGTTTCAGAGTTAAAGCAGACGTAAACAGTAAGACTGATTCTGGACCCTTCAACAGACATGCATTTTCTAAAAGCCTATTTCACGCATTTCATGTAAATGCAGTATGTCATTCACATAAGTGCATATTAATAACTGAACGGATTAAAAACAATCAACTGAAGATTGTAATCTCAAAATTACAAAATTGTAATCTTAACTCTTGGTTAAGTAACTCAATACACAATGTTATTTTGGTAGTTAAATAACTATGCTGCTGTTGTTTAGGGCAATGACAGAACCGTGTCGTATATACCTAGTTGAAGCCTCAGGCTTCAACTAGGCCTTCGGGGTAAGACAAAATGGGAATCTCTCTCTCGCGATAACACCAGTCGGCAGCAGTCACAGGTGCTGCTCAGATACGCAGGTGTAGCCCTGTAGTGATAAGGAAGCTAAACAGGTATCAACAGTTCTTTTGGTGGGAAAGGTGGGAGAATATAGCAGCCTGTGGCGAGAGATTAGTAAGTTAGACGGGTTGCCATGACAAAAAATATGGACCGTGGAGGTGGTTTTCGACCGTTCGTTCCTTCTTTGGAGTTCACCGACGAACCAGAGAGCCTGTCATATCATTGTTCTTTCAGTGTAATACTGTCGCTTTCACTGTATTACTATCACCATCACTTTATTACTATCCTTATTGCTGTATCACCAGAGTATTACACTGTTCTATCACTGTAACGCTTTTCCGTTTTCTTGTGAGTGAACACGGAGTATGGAATGTTGAGATATTAAGGTAAACTAATCTATTTATGGCGCTCCACTTACATCACTCTCCACAGCTTTATTAGATATATTTCTGCGCCGACTTATCTCTGGGTGTTACTGATATCAGTATGAGAAAGTGTATAAGTGCTAATGTATGTTCCAGGTGGCTGAAATAATATATATAAATAGGTTCTTAAATCTTACTGGAAAACTGATTTGATTAGTAACTTTGCATTTTTATTACTCTCACACCCCAAATGTACTTTTTTTGTTCATAAAATAAAAAAAAATCTAATTAAAATTGTATTTGAAAATGTTCCAGTTTTCTGTTGGATATTTATCAAGACTGCTGACTTTCATTCTCACAAATTCTTTACATTTTCTGAATATGGGATCTAAATTTTCGACGTTGTATACTCGCTATTCGATGTCTTCGCTCTTTCACCGAGTCGCATCATTTTATATTCATCTAAATGAAACGTGCCTAAGCGTCTCGACTTTTCAGAGAATCACACCCGGGGTCTTTCTATTATGAGCCGCGTGATGAAGCCTCAATATCAGTCTACCTCTCTATCAGTTTTTAAACCATATTATAAACTATATATATAATAAATAATTCATTTTATACCCCAAAAACGACACTGTTAACAATTAAATATTAAACCAACGTGGGCATGAAAATACAAAAGCTTCCCCCCCCCAATAAGGTGAGGGGCAGAGTTACAGAAAACGGTACCAGTACCCAGTGATGGGACCGTGCAGGGGCATCACAACACAGGGGAGCAGTCGTCAACAAGCTCTTGTTGTGTGAGGGACCTTGGCTTTAGTGACGCTCAAAGGAACTATTATTCTGCAATATTTTTTGGCCAGTAAGTCTCGGCTCTGTTGAGAGAGCTCTGACAATTCAGTTATATCGATGAGTTTTTTGTTTTCCTGTTTAGTGCCCAAGAATCAAGTGGCCATCTGTTTTATGGGTGTCAACAGTACGATTTAATATTTACCTACTGTTTTATGGGTGTCAACAGTACGTTTTAATGTTTACCAACTGTTTTATGGGTGTCAACCGTACGATTTAATGTTTATCTACTGTTTTATGGGTGTCAACAGTACGATTTAATGTTTACCTACTGTTTTATGGGTGTCAACCGTACGATTTAATGTTTATCTACTGTTTTATGGGTGTCAACCGTACGATTTAATGTTTACCTACTGTTTTATGGGTGTCAACAATACGATTTAATGTTTATCTACTGTTTTATGGGTGTCAACCGTACGATTTAATGTTTACCTACTGTTTTATGGGTGTCAACAATACGATTTAATGTTTACCTACTGTTTTATGGGTGTCAACAATACGATTTAATGTTTACCTACTGTTTTATGGGTGTCAATAGTACGTTTTAATGTTTACCTACTGTTTTATGTGCGTCAACAGTACGATTGAATGATTATTCATTCAGTTATGTGTTGCTGTCAACCATGTTTTGTGTACAACATTGGTCTTTCACCTTTTTCATATCAAAATAGTTTCATTTCATATCATTCAGGCGTATAATTAAGAAAGTGCTTTTGCAATATATTACTCACTTTAAAATCTTATATAAGTAGCTGTCTGATGTTTGCCTACTCACCTTTGTGTGTTTGTAGTGTTGAGTCATAGCTCCTAAGCCCCACATTCCTGGACGTCTTACCCCATAGCAGTCACGTGTAGAACATGATCTAGATCAATTCACGTCTAGTAAAAGGCTTGTATTTAGTATAATCAGAGCATTCACACATGGTACTAGGTCAATATCAATTCATTCACACATGGTACTAGGCCTATATCACATTTGCTTCTGTTTAGTAAAGAAAATCCTGCTTGGTACTCTGGTATATCACTTCAGGACTCAATGTTGTGATGTTTTTGGCTCATAAATTTTAAAATGCAAAATAAACCACAATGAACATGAAAGATTTTCGTCTGAGCATGCTTTCAGATTTGCACCCGTCCTCAGAAACTAATACACAATGTCTAATAGTCTTTAAGAGGCTGTTAGGAAGGTTTTAAACCAGAAAGCATCTTTACAGAAAATCTTTACAGATCTGGGCGACAAACTGAGCAGTGTTACCAAAGAGTGTAAATCTTCTTTATTCCAGCGCCTCAGTGTTGCAACTCAGAGGGGAAATAACTTGGGCATCTTGCATCTTGGGCACCTCGGAGGAGTTCAAGGTGGTGTTTGACTTGCAACAATGATCGAATCTGTCTGACATTTATTAATGTATCCAGTTGCTGTGTTTTTCATTTTACTTGTAATGGTGGTGTTGTGTATGTGTTAAGGCCGCATTTTGTAATTATGTACAATAAAGTTCCATATATATATATAATGTAAGGTGCTCAGGTGTGTGTGTGTGTGTGTGTGTGTGTGTGGTGTGAGTGATGGGGTACAATAAGCCAAACTTCGTATGCTCGTGGCTATTTTTACAGCTTGTCAGGAAGAGTTGAGGCAAGTGTCAAGAGATATTGCGTGTAGGGATGGGTGCGTGTGCACGAATTAAATATATATGTAAATCAACCGAGAGGCTCTTCACAGGGCGAAAGCGTCTGCATATTGATTCCCATTGTTTCACTGTGGGGCGTTTTGCATATTATATATATATATTATATATATATAAGATAAGGCTGTGGGAATTAAACTCTACACAACAGCTGGGACCTTCTTCAGAACTGTGTTTACCGTAGCAGTTCCCATAACAAGTTGTTATTGAGTCAATGTGAAAAGCTGGTACAGTACCTAGCACTAGAAATAAAGCTTTTAACGGTAGGAGATTGTTTTGGATCAGTGGATGGAGGAACGGAGGTGTGAGTGGGTGTGTGTAGTGGCATTAATATGAAACATTTCTCCCTGAAGAAAGACATAAAAATCAGACTTACAAAGGCTGCCATAGTATCATAAAATTACCAGAAATGTAGTTTTTATTGCAATTTGTTCAGGTAGCTTATAAGGAGAGATCATTGACTAAGGCGGAACAGGAAAAGGGAGGGAGAGCAGTAGTGAGAGTGGAAGGGAAGCAACAGGGAGGAAGGAAAGGGAAGAAGTAGGGAGGGAGATACTAGTTATGCAGAAATCTGAGTGGCACAGATTTTGGGTCGTTTTGTAACCTTAAATCAATAATACACGAATTATTCCACACAATGATATCTTCTTGTTTCTTGCAGATACAACCTCAGCTACTTCGAAAATGGTAAGTCTTTTACTTATTCTGTAATATAATACTTGCAGTTTCCTCTGGCTCAAGGCTAGGACATGCAGCTGGACACCAGAGTGTGACGAGTCAGTTCTGGGTATTATGAACCTCCACACGCAACTTGATGCCCTTAAGGTGGTCTTATGCCTCCGGAAACGCCCAATTTTCAGAAGATGCTTCAGAAAATGTCTGCAAGGGATTTTATTTACGGGTAAAGTGTCTCCTAAAAATAGGAATTTTATTACCAATGACTTTTATACGCCCTACTGTAATAGAATGTGAGGTGTTAGAAGTTATATAATATATATATATTATACCTTCACTGGTTCAATTGTAGGGACCCATAGCCTCGGAGAAGAGAATGAAGAGCATTCAAAGAAATACTCGCCGTCAGACACTAAATACGTAAGAGTATTCGCTTCTCCTACCACCCCTTTCTTATTATTTATGATTATGTTTATGAATATGAATATGATATATATATATATATATATATATATATATATATATATATATATATATATATATATATATATATATATTCTTGCATATATATACGTATCTAATGACAAATGGTTACATCAATGATTCTGGTAAACGTGTGTGTGTGTGTGTGTGTGTGTGTGTGTGTGTGTGTGTGTGTGTGTTTAAAAAGAAAGATTAACTGTATGTCTTTCATTACCTCTCACTGGTTAAAAATATATTGTACAAACGCTCATAAAAGGTGACAAACAATGTTTGCTTGAATTTTTGCCGCTTTGAATTCAATATTTTTACCCCATAAAGGAAATGTATCACTTCCAAATATTTGCACAAATCTTATAAAATACAGATTTTTATGTCTTCAAATATAAGGTCTATTGCTGCGTGTATATTTTACTTCTCCTTTCGTTATTTAATGTTTATGGTAATATTTTTATTTCATATTTAATCTGTTTTTAATCAGGGTTTATATTTTTTATATTTGCTCATATATTTATTTTTTTTAGTCTCGATTCACCTTTCGAGGGATGATGGCACCAGCTCCGACCCCATTCAATAAAGACGGGTGAGTATCAATCAAGTTGGTAGACAGCTGAGAGTAGATTGATATCTAGAGTGATGGCTGTATATATACACATTCAGCCCTTTCTGTGTAAAGTATGAGGAGTGTAGATATGGTTTGGTATTTGTTTATATACCCACCCTGGGTGGGTATATAAACAAATAGCTAAGTACCCTCTCCATACACATTCATACCCAGAGAGGGTATGAATGTGTATGGAGAGGGTATGAATCAAGGCTCCCACACGGGCCTTACTGACCTATCAGCGAGGGGACGTGTGCTCTAAACCTCCCCTCAGTTTGTTGTGACTAAGGATGAGGGGACAAATGTCGTTTCCTCGACTAGAAAGCTCTTAAATGATATAGTCGAGTTCATCAACGCTAAATTGTTCGTCGTTAACATCCGGAGCTGAACACATTTCAGTGTCAGAGTAGTTAATAAATGGAATGCACTAAGAAGTGATGTGGTTGAGGCTGACTCCATACACAGTTTCAAATGTAGATATGATAGAGCCCAGTAGGCTCAGGAATCTGTACACCAGTTGATTGACAGGACCAAAGAGCCAAAGTTCAACCCCCGCAAGCACAATTAGGTGAGTACAATTAGGTGAGTGCATGCCTATTTAAACGTTGTCTCTGAGAATGCACTCTGTCACGTACAAATAATAGTACCTATGACACATAGAAATCACAATAGCGTGATGCATCAAATGAACAAATCTACTAGGGCCGTGATGATGGTTCGAATCTACTTCTGAGATCACGGCCCTTGTGGATTTGTTTCAATAGTACCTATGGTTACTATAAATGGAAGAACAAACTATGGGGTATTTGCACCTAAATGTACTATTAATTTTGTAGAGGTCTCGAGGGAAAAAAAAGGCAACAAACCAAATTTTTTCTAGACCTAGTGTAGTACATATATGTACTGAGTTAAGCGTAAATTGGAGTATATTAGACTTTGGATTGCCTATTTAGGCCTCAGATATCTTTCATTAAGTCTTCAGCTATTTTTTCAATGTTTTGTTACAGAACCGTAGTATTTCAATAGTAAATAAACTTGTTGGTGGTCCAGCAGTGCTTTTTTTTTGTGCATCAAATGCAACTATACGTTCGAATCCCTTCAGGAAGATCCCTAAAAAGATCCCTAGATCCATAAGAAGATCCCTAGATCCATAAGAAGATCCCTAGATCCATAAGAAGATCCCTAGATCCATAAGAAGATCCCTAGATCCCTAAGAAGATCCCTAGATCCCTAAGAAGATCCCTAGATCCATAAGAAGATCCCTAGATCCATAAGAAGATCCCTAGATCCATAAGAAGATCCCTAGATCCATAAGAAGATCCCTAGATCCATAAGAAGATCCCTAGATCCATAAGAAGATCCCTAGATCCCTAAGAAGATCCCTAGATCCATAAGAAGATCCCTAGATCCCTAAGAAGATCCCTAGATCCCTAAGAAGATCAGGAAGATTTACATCCCTCCTCCCTTCAGGAGGAGGGATGTAAACAAAAGACACGTGACCGCGTGACGTCAGTGTCATGGGGGCTCTGCTCGTGACGTGTACACAATGATGAGATGATGGCAACTTGGGAAAACCTTTAAACTACCTTCCATTCATCTGGGCGCTAAGAGACTCGAACTGTCGACCCTTCGATGAGGCCGATGCTCTATCAACCGAACAATTGAGAAGTTTTGATAAGGAAAGTTTCCTGGGTACTTCCTATACTGTATGTAGTACCTATTGATTTATACCAAGATTTATAAATTGAAGTACCAAGATTGATAGTATAGGTACTGTAAATAGGTAGTTTCATTGAAACTACTTATTTGGAATGGAGGGAGCGTGGAATGGAGGAAAATGGGAGAGAGGAAAAGGGAAAGCTGGCAAAGGAGCGATTAGGAAAAAAAGAGGAGAAATGAAGGAAAAAGGTAATTTATCCTAATAAAAATAAACAAATAAAATAAATAAATAAATAAAATAAATAAAATAAATAAATAAATAAATAAATGTAATATTTAAGTCAGAATGAATACATAGCATTTGGAAGGAATATGTGGGCAAACTAAGAACTTGGATATGAGCTAGGACGAAATAAAGACACGATGGTCAACCACTTAGACCATTGGGGATCGAACACCGACTCCGTAAAAAAAACAAGTTCAACTTCTCACCGACCCATCCAAATGAAAGGACAGGAGGAAAGGATATAACAATATTTTAATTTTTAATCAATTGAACTGAACAAAAACTAATTCAATTGAATTAAATTGTTTTTAAACAATTTAACGAGGAAGATTATTATTATGTAACAATAATAATAATACAGTAAGAGGTACCCAAAGGTACCTACCCAGAGGTAGGTACATTTGGGTACCTACAGGTTAGGTACCCAAATCTTAACTCTCTAAAGGGGAGAATCAAATTAGAGAGAAGAGGAACTGAGCCACGACTGGGAAACAGCTCATTTCCTGGAGGGTGGGACACGGCTTGATTGCTTTGTTATTTGAACTGAGGAGTGGACTCACAAACCATGCAAAATACCTGCTCTCCAGGTTGTCGCAGCGTGCATCCCTATTCCCTACCAGTGTATGGGTAGTTCAAGAGGTAGAGTATGGGACAGGGGGAAGGGAGAGGAGAGAGAGGGGAAATAGAGAGCAGTTAGTGAGATCAGAAGGTAGGAAGGTAGACAAGAGAACACAGTGAAAGGACAGAGAGCACGTACGTAAAAAGAATGGCTAGGGAAGAAAATACCTTTCGCAGAGAGTTATCTAGTGGGAGCCTCCATCTGCGATCCCTGTGAAGACTCTCTACATCTTATCAGAACTGGCGAGGTCAGGCAAGAACAAAAAAAATCACTCCCCCCTACTGGCCAACAATGATAAAATATTAAGGGAAAAAAATGATTCGAAAAAAAACATGCATGAAAATTGTTATAGAAAATGAATAATGTGTTTCTTACACCTGTTACTTCTGTCATATACTTCTGTCATATACTTTTGTCATGTACTTCTGTACTTCTGCTGCTAATATGGGATAGTCAGCCCCAAGCACAGATCTAGTCCCAAACTGGACAGCAATAGGACCTCTTATTCATTTACGACGTTTAAGAAATAAAGAGAGTTCAAAAGGGTGACCCTGAGAATGAGATTCATGTCTTTAAGACTACTCAACATTAGAATGTAAGACTACCCAACCAAATTCGTTCGTGTGTGTCTAACCCTTAACTAAAACTCCACCAATGGAGTTCATCACATTCATCACATCACATCACACACGGGGAACTGTTTCATTTCAACGAATGCAGCTCAGAGCTCCTGAGAACTGATGGGCTGTTTTTTTACAGTAATTTTTTTTTAAATTAGTGGTAATAGCGGTGTCTTGTGTGTTAAAACAGGTGTATTATGGTGGGTGAGGAGGAGAAACACACACACACACAATATATATCCTGAAAATCCTTTCTGCAAACGAACAGAGTCCCAGATAATCCAGAGTTATCCAACTTGAATCTATTGCCCTTCGTTGGTATCTGTGTTGACGTTTTGACACTGTGACGAACATGCATTCTCTGTCACCTCAATGCCCTCTCAGTTACTTTCACGTGCCCTCTTCCTCACTTGGCTCTTCCAGTTTCTGGGACCAAACCTTACTTGCATTTCTGTAAACGTTCGAATGAATTTTCGTGTATTTCAGAGTTCCGTCCAAAGACTGACAATAAACGCATGCATTAGAGTAAATAACTCTAGATCATTGAGACCTTCTATGGAATATCTTATTGTTAGCTGCAACAACTGATATTAGGCTCGATTTGCCTAATAAGCCAAGTTTTCCTGAATTTATTTATTTTTCAATTTTTTTCTTATGAAATGATAAAGCTATCCATTTTATTACGTAAGAGTTTTTTTTATTAATTTGGGGTAAAACGTAGATATATGACCTAACCTAACCTATCTTAACCTAACC